TAACAATGTTCAAGAGGAAGTGTACTCATTACCTCACTCATGTAACTTTAACCCTCTGTATAGTATCTTTACAATAAAAAATTTTAAAAAAATGTAGTAAGTAGTTCTTATGTCAGTCTCTCCATTTGTGACTTTTCATGTAAAGAAGATTGATTCGTTCATCTCTGTTCCCTCTAGAGTAAAATTTGGCCTTTTGACATTCATTAGATGCTCAGTAAATATTGGTCACATGCATGAACATAAATATGGGACAAAAGGATGTCTACTGAAACCTGCAAAGAAAATAATGTACAAAGAACTGAAATGGTGCCTACTGTAAGTCTAGCCACTACATGACACTCAAGAGGTGGTTAGTATGTTTTCAGGAATGCATGCCTGCAATTCATTCATGCATGCACAAATGAATGAATGAATGGAAGGATAACATAATCAGGCCACTAAATGCATACATATATTAAGTAAAGAAAATTGGCAATGTTTGAAGATGGAAAGTACTATGAAGTATAGTCAAAGGAAAGAAGAAAAATAGCCATTGATAGGCTTTGATATGAATGGCAGAAGAAAACCTAGGAAAGTGAGTGTCACAAACAATAATAATTTGTTCAGCTCTGGTTTGCAAAGCCCTTTCACATGATTTCCTTTTACGTCTGACAGTCCTGGGATACCAAGAGAAGGTTTATTGTTTGTTTCTGTTGTCATTGTTTCAACACACAAAGCTCAGTCTTGAAAAGGTTAAGTGACTTGGAGAAGAACATTCAAATGGAATGAAATATTTAACAGAGTGTTGAATAAAGAGTGAAAAGATGTCACTGTGTTCCACCAGGATTTCATCAGAGCCCATGCAAAGTGAGGTTGGAAAGGAGGGAAAAGGAGAAATGAAGAGACATAAATGGATAAATACACTAAAATAGGTGTTCCATGTGATAATCATATACTTATCAAGTAAACATCATATATATAATAATTATATCAGTATCACACAGATATCATCACACATGACACAGACATAGGATGGGAAAGAATGCAGGGTAAAAGAGGGATACCATGAGTTTCTACCTTTATTAAAAACATAAATGGACAACTTGATTCCAGTCAACCAGTTTTTATCATGGCATATATATGCATGATTTCTGATTTTGCAACTTATTTTAAGATTTGTAAATACCATTTGGAAAAGATATTTCTGGTCAGGTTCTAATAAAAGCAGATTGCTCCTACCTTTTTCTTCCATGTTTCTCTTCTTAATAAAATGGCATGGAAAGCTGAACGCTGGTGGCTCATGCCTGTAATCTTAGCTACTCAGGAGGCTCAGATCTGAGGATCTCAGTTCAAATCCAGCCCAGGCAGGAAAGTCTGTGAAACTCATATCTCCAATTAACCACAAAAAGCTGGAAGTGGAGTTGTGGCTCAAAGTGGTAGCACACCAGCCTTGAGAAAAATTGCACAGGGACAGTGCCCAAGCACTGACTTCAAGCCCCATGACCAGAACAACAGCAACAACAACAAAAAAGCAAAGCAAAGCAAAGAAAAAGAAAAATTATATTGAAAGGCTAGATGTGTGGCTCAAGAAGTGGAGTACCAGGCTAAAAATTCAAAGCCTTGAATTCCAACCTGTGGGGGTTGGAAAAAACGATACTGAAAATACGTGAATGAGGAAGAGAGGTATGGGTGCTGTTAAATCCAATTCAGCACCCTTCACTGGGAAAGTAGTTCTGTATTCTGTATTCATGCAGACATGGAGGGAGGACCATTGACTATATGTAGGATTCTCTTTCAAAATAAGTTCTTCAATTTCAAAATAAGGCTAGGAGGAGAATAAGCCTATGAAATCTTTCCTTCCTCTCTTTTCCCTCCTCTTCCTTCTGCTTTTTCTTCTGCTTGCAGATATGTAGGGTTTGAACTCAAAGGCTGGCAATCTCTCACTTTAGCCATACCTATACTCCTGGCTTTTGGCTCCTCTTAATTGGAGATACAAATCCCATGGGCTTTCCTGAACTTATAAAATATCTGAGACAACAAGAACTGATGTGAGCTTTGGCTACCTAAGTTTGTGCAAGAAAAGATAACCTTCTCTCTAATGTCAGGACTGACAGCTGTGGAACATGAATTTACATAGGTGAGCTAAATTATTTCTTGGTAAGCAAATCAACCACAGAATTGTTCCTTAAGCATGATCCAACATTTTTACTCAATTTTGGATGGTATGCAGAAGAACAAGAATGTGATGGATAGAACAAGAATGTGATGGATTTTTAGATCGTCAAATACAACTTATACACTTTCCTTTATTATCCCATCTAAAATGCAGTGAATGAATTACAAAAAAAAATACCATCCTGCTACTGTGTCTACACATCCTGCAAACATCTAGATGACACATCCAGGCCATCATCCAGCTATTGGAAAACATTTATCTTGATGGCATTAAACATCTGGATGTTTCTAAATGCCAAGGTGTTGGGAATATCCAGCAGATAAAATATCCTGATGACTGGTTTAATTTTGGTTTATCTGTTGCATACAAAAAAAAGAACATTTGCATGCATGGGTCCAATCCTACTTTAGACAGGAAATACCATTTTACCATGGATAGAGTATGAAGTCACAGACAGGAATGATCAGGTTTCAGTTCTGTAGTTAATATTATTATTATTCCTAAATCTCTAAGCTACAGACATGTTATTCTTTTAATTGTCTTGTTCAGAAAATAAGAGAATTAAGTACCTTTTAAAAAGTGTAAACTAAAAGGCAACAGATTGTTTGAGAAAAACATCCAGAAACTTGAGCTTTTCTTTATCTACCCTGGCCCCTAAAAATATTATAGGAGGTAAAACCAAAATGATAGAATTAAATATCCCACTGAAGATGTATGTGCAATGTTTGTGTTTTCGTTTTAAAGGTTTTATTCTTTAGCACATCCAATTTTGTCATCTAGGCAAAATGACAAGGTTTCAAACTTTCAAATTGTCTAATGTTTTCATTCATAGTTTGGCATAGAAATGGAAGGAAACATGCATTTAATTTGTCTGTGTGTGTGTGTGTGTGTGTGTGCGCACGCACATATTTTATTAGAACCCAGTTCATCCACATCATTAAAGATCAGATGGTCCAATCTCTCAGCCACATTTTCATATTCTAGTTTAATTAAGAAAAACAAGGGAATTATTATTTTAATGTAAAGCACATCTTTTTGATATCTGCTCAAAGAAAGATTGCTGTTCTTTTCTGGTTTTTGTCATGTTATAGCTAATTCTGTAAATGTATTGATTCTGTATGCAACGGGCCTTTCAAGTCTGGTCCTTGTGCTCTGTATTAGAAATGGGAAATAAAGCTGGGCGCTGGTGGCTCACACCTGTAATCCTAGCTACTCAGGAGGCTGAGATCTGAGGAATGCGGTTCAAAGCCAGTCTGGACAGACTCTTACCACCCGATGAGACTCTTATCATCAATAAACCACTCAGAAAACCAGAAGTTCTGCTGTGGTTCAAGTGGTAGAGCACTAGCTTTGAGCTGAAGAGCTGAGGGACAGTGCCCAGGACCAGAGTTCAAGCCCCACGACCAACACACACACACACACACACACACACACACACACACACACACAGTGGGAAATAAATGTTAAAGTAAAACACAACCACAAAAAAACAATTATTGCCGAGAGCCAGAAACTTTTGGAGTATTAGAGCAGCAGAAAAATTACACCCCAACTTTTAGCTTCCCAGCCAGGCCTGTACCTTTTGGGTCATTCAACACTGAGCCGAAGGCGCTGATGACCACGTCAGCTTTCAGGTGGACAGTCTGCTCTTCATCCTCTACCCAGTTTCCAGTTTCATCTTGCTCCGTCCGAACAAATTGCATCCCAACAATTTTCCCGCCTTTCACAGTGACCTTCCGTGGGGAAAGGAAAGGCAGAAACTCGCACTTTTCTTCTTTAGCAAGCTCCATCTAAAACGCAGAAGAACAGAGAGGAGAAACATGTTTAAAACTATTTCTCATCCTATGCAACCATTGATTTTTCTATCCAAATGCATATGGTAACTGCTGCAGTATTTTAACATCCAGGAAGCTTTCTCTCACTTTCACCAAAGCCAAGATTCGGGTTTCATCTATGAACACTGTGTGCACTCCTGCCTGGGGTAGGGAGGCCGTCTTGAATTGGAGCAGCGACAAAAATGTATAGGGACAAGTTCATGAGTTATTTCCCAGGTTTTCTATTTCAAGTGCCCTAGGGTTGGTGTTATGTATAAGATTTCTGACTCTAGTAGCCTGGCCTGTTGGTGCTTCCAAGTCTGCAGATTAAGTTCCCTTTTTAAATCGTCATACATATGAAAATAAATACTTGTGTTTATTAACAAAGTGTGCAGATCTAAGCTGGAAAAAAGTCAATGAGGTGGGTGAGACAATTTGTGCGAGTATGTGACCAGAATGTTAGGTAAGAGAAAAGAAGGTTAAAAAGAAGAGAAAAGAAATGTGTAGAACTGCAAAATAAAAAGATAATGAATATCATTTTTTGTCTCCCTCCTCCTCCTCCTCTTCCTCCTTCTCCTCCTCTTCCTCTTTCCCCTTCCTCCTCCCCCCCCCTCCTCTCCCTTCCTCCTCTTCTTTCTCTGGGCATTGTTTCAGAGCTATTTTTCTCAAGGCTAGTGCTCTAGCATTTGAGTCACAACTTCACTTTCAGCTGTGTGTGTGTGTCTATCTGTCTGTCTGTTTGTGATGAATAGTCTCACAGACTTTCCCACCCAGGCTGGCTTTGAACTGCAATCCTCAGATCTCAACCTCCTCTTCCTTTTACAACAGCACAATCGTGAATGCCACAAATTACAAATGTGAAAGGAAAACAGGCAAATTCCCACTCCCTTCCCCAACTTTCCTGTAACTCTATCATAACTATCCTGTCTATCATAAAATCGAGAAATCCCATTTCTCATTTGTGCTCATGTCATTAAAAGAATAGATATGTACACTCAAATTTACTTATTATGTTCCACTCATTATTTTTGTTGTTGTTTTGTTTTTTATCAGTCATGGGGCTGGACACTGTCCCTGAGCTATTTTTTGGAGTAGCCAGGCCTTTGTCAATATAATCTGAACTAGTATGCTAATTTTTCTTTCCCAAAAGTAAGAAAGAAAAATTCCCTACCATACATTTTTCCTCCCTTGTGGAGGCCAAGTAAACGCTCAGCAGATCCTTTGATGGCTGAAGGAAAGAAGATTGTGTGTGCAAAGTATCCTATGAGGAGTCATCCCAGATAAATCATGGTGGGACTGTGGAGGCATGCAGTCTCTACGCAGCATACAGAATCTCTCAGCAGTCTACCAAGATCCACTGCTTCCTCCATTGGCACCTATCATAATCATCTGGAATGTTTTGTGACAACAGACTGCATGGGTCTACCCCCCAGAGTTTCTAGATCTGTGTATTTGGATGAGGCTTAAGTATTTGTGGTTTGAGGACTATGCTATTGACCCAGGAATGAGAGACACAAGAGTTGAGGACCATTCATCCACTCAAAACTTGTGTAGGCAGCACATACACAAATATGCAATAACACTATAATATTAAACTTAAAGAGCAATGATGAAAAGACTACCTAGGGGAAGAGAATATATAACCATTTAAAGACACTAGCCAATACTATAAATTAAAGGAAGCAGTTCAGTCCCTTAAGTTGCTTTTTTTTAAATGATAGGTTATTCTATCTACCATTTCTCTTTAACGCTTAAAAGGAGGAGTACTTATAAATCCTTGCAAGCCATTTCCTTCTATTAAATTGCAAAATTTGAATAGAATAACTAATAGGCATCATACGTAGTAGTAAATATATAAAAAGTTAAATCCCAAACTGCCTACTTCCTCGATAGGGAAGTGGATTTGAATCAGGTTTCAAACTTGCTTCTACTGTGCTTTGGAAAAGGTTTCTTGACGTCAATATGGGAATAACAACAGAACATTCATTAGTATGTGGTGATTTGGAAGACAATCCTGAAAGCATAAGTGCCTCAACTAGAACTTAGTCTTACAGAAGTTACATATACAAGCTGTTCATTCACAGTTGCTATCCTTTGAATTTACATTTCCCCAAACCTTTCTTCAAGTATGCCTCAGCACTTATCAATAGGATTATGATTTCAAGAGGTGACTCATAACAGCAGGCCTAAAACAAAGAAATTCTAATACCCCTTATAATTTTTCTATAAAATAATGAATACTAAGAGGTAAGCCATTGCTTGACTGATTCAAATGACAAAATAAATATGGTACCTGTCTGCGAAATATGTTTCCCACATCATTTTGTCACAGTCTGTAATGTAGCACAAAATAAACAAGTTTATTGTGTTTCAAAAATGTCAAGTGATGCTAAATTTTAATGATAATACCACACTTTATTGAATAGCAATGCTGAATGTTTATGGTTTGAATAAATCAATATACCATGCATTTTTACACTAGCACTATTTTCTGTAGAGACAATAAATAAAATACAGGATTATGCTGTCCCAGTTGGGAAGAGTGTGTCACAGATTGATTTAAGATCTGTTTTGTCCTAGTCTCCCTTTCTTGTCTGTTGAAAGTAAGTAGTATTAAACATACGTATGTCTCTTATGAGGTTTTGGAAAATTTGATATTAAAATTGGAAAATAAATTAGCATAGATTTAATGCCTGAACTCCTTTATAGTATGGATTTTTAGATGTGAGAGCCTGAAATCTGAGCGTAGTTATGAAGATAAGAAATTGTGTTTTCGTATAAGCTCCACTCACATTGGAATTGTCTAAAGAGGATTTGTGTTTGAATACTGAGCATTCTCTCCCACTGTCCAACCATAGACAGAAACCTGGCGTGATACAAACACTGCTTGATATGAACGAAGATTATTCTGAAGTTTGGCTACTTGAACTTTAGGGACATTTACATTCTCTGAAATATGCAGGGTTTGACTTCTTGGTGGCACACATTAATTAGATGAGTTCTTCACAATATGTTGCTATTAAATAACTTTTTCCATCAGGGGAAATGTACAAAAGGAAGTTATTTGAATATATTTATTGATTTGTTTTCACAGTACTGTAGTGGGGAAAATAGTGAGATTAGGATAAAATTTTCTGAAAAAATATTAGGCTAACTGATCTAATTTTAGGACAATCAAGAGAATATAATATTAGGACAATTAGGATATTAGCAGAACACAAAACATCCAACACTATAGATCAGGTAAAATAGCCTTTGAATTATTTTTGGACGGCATAGGAACCAATTTGCACTATTTAATACATGCTTCTTGCAGGATTAATTTTAAGGGCGTTATGTGTAGCTTCTCATTGCCACACAAAGAAGAAGCATGACAGGACAACTTCTATATCAATTATTACAACAAAATACCTAGCTTCAAATCAACTTTGTCTCCCTGATGTGGCACAGAAGGCCACACTACTCTGGGCATCATGGTGAATTTGGGGATTTCACATCCTCGGGGCTCACTGCTAAAGAAGCATATGGTTGAGCATCCCAAATCTCAAAATGTGACATTCAAAGGCTGAAACACCTATAGCTCTCTTACCACTGATTTGAGACTCCCACAGGAAAATTCCACATCTGGCCTCACATCATGTGTCATAGCCAAAACATAGGTGCACCAAAAATATTGTTCCCACTGTCATTCACCTTGTGTGTATCAGATGGGCATGAAATGAAAATAAATTACCTAGCTAGAATCCCCTTCACATGATATTTAAGTATGTATAGGCAATATTCTAAATGTGCTAAAGTTAGAAGAAAAAAATGTCCAAATCTGAAACACTTCTCATTCTAAGCATTCCACATAAAGAGATATCCAACCTGTATCTCTTTTGGATTGAAAGAAATAGACTTTAAAAGTCTTAGCAAAACATCCTGATTTGATAGTTACTTCTATGTGGCTTAGCTTTGTGTAAGAAAAAAATTTATAGTAGAGTCTAAGGTGGGGAAATGGGACTCTAATTAGAGTGTTGAATCTCAAACAAGGCCAAGCATAACTGGAAAAGAGATTGGCTATCTGTCCTCAGGGCTGGGTGCTTGTGGCTCACACCTATAATCTAAGCTTATCTGGAAGGTGAGATCTGAGGCTCATGATTGCAAGCCAGCCTAAGCAAGAGAGTCCATTGGAACCTTTTTGCCAATTAACCACCTAAAAACCGGAAGTGGTGACTAGGCTCAATGTGATAGCGCTAGCTCTGAATGCAAAAGCTCAGGGGCAGCATCCAGGCTCAGTTCAAGCACTGGGACTATCACCACCACCAACAAAAACAACTGTCCTCAGTGGTACGAAAATTCGAGCTTCTTAGTCTAAATATGCAAAGGACTCTAACATCATGAACTATGGGAAACAAAGGTTGGACTTAGGAGGATAGTACTGTAAACAAGTTAATAGGGATCCCTTGAATTAACAAAGGTAACTTTTGAATAAAGGAAATTCTACCCAACAAAAATGGATAGCAAAGGCATGGAACATAGTATCTCAAAATAGGAAAGTAGATGATAACAGATTTTAGCTAAATGTACATATCAAATGATAAATTCTTTCATAAAACTCCTTCAATATAGAAATATTTCATTCATCTCACTCTACCTCCAACTTCCAATATGATGTTCACACAGTCAACAATTTGATGAAATATGAGAAAATGAACATGCACACAGACGTTAAGTGAACCAGAATATCTTCTAGCCAGTATGCCACATGGAGGGTGCCTGACAACAGGGCTCTGCCCTGTCTGTGTCCATCAAAATGATTGGCACACAGAGGACCTTGAGTAAAGTTTTGCTTATCCATTGTAATGACAAATGGTTATCAGACCCTGAAGGATGTTCAAATTAATGACAGGAAAACCACATGTATGTATAATGAATGAGTAGACACTAGACACCCATCCCAAAGCAGGTAACCAAAGGCATTCAGAAGACATGCC